AAGGAATGTGATTGCTGGGTCATAAACGTGTGTCTGGTTTTGTAAGACACTGCCGAACTGTCTTTTAAAGTGGCTGTACCATTTTGCATTCCCACCAGCAGTAAATGATAGTTCCTGTTCTTGTACTTCCTCGCCAGCATTTGGTGGTGGTAGCGTTTTGGATTTTGGCCATTCTAATATGTGTGTAGTGGTATTCATATTGTTGTTTTAGTTTGAAGTTTCCTAATGACACATGATGTTGAAAATCTTTTCATATGCTTATTTGCCAGTTCTATATCTTCCTTGGTTAGGTGTCTGTTTAGGTCTTTCCCTGTTTTTTAATTGAGTTGTTTTTCTTACTCCAAGATGTCTTTGTATATTTTGGATACTAGTCCCTTATCAGATGTCTTCTGCAAATATTTTCTCCCAGTCTTTGGTATGTCTTCTCATTTTCTTGACTAAAATCAACTTTTCAAAGCCCTTCAGGTGATTCTAATTCTCTGCTGGATTTTCCATCCACTGTTCTGAGCTACTTTCTTTTCTTCTGTTTCAAGGCTAAGTGCCACGAACAGCCATCAGTTCTCAAATACTCATTTCATCCTTTCTGTCAGAGCTAGTCCCATCCTACTACCAGCTTCCCTGATGTTGCTACTTGTTCTTCCATGTCTCTCTTTCTCTTATCCTTCAAATTTCAACTCTTCATCTGGATAACCTTAAAGTAGGTTTTCTTTAGTGATAACGCTGGTTGTACTTGATCCACGGGCCCCTTTGATTCTGACACCGCCTCTGCAGCAGGGTTCCCTTCCACTTGCCTTGTTGGTGCAAAAAATAATGATGGTTGTGTTAGAGTGTGAGATTAACAGTGTTACCCCTCCTCCCATGTTGTCCCCACTTTCTTTTTTAATTTTTTTGTATTATGTTAGTAATTTATGAAATAATTTACTTTTTTGTTTACTTACTGTGTATTTTGGTTTATTTGCCAACTCACCGCCTTTTTAAAAACCTGTTTTAATCTTCATAAAGGTTGAATTTTTGTCATTCCTACCATTTTATTGTGTGTGTTTGAACAACTAGCTATTCACTTTTCATGTATCAGTAGAAAAATATTTTTCTAGGGCAATATTAGAGGAAGAATTTATTGCTCATGGAATGATCTGAATAAGAGAAGAGATTGCAGCAAGTACATTTGAAGCATTTATTTTACTTCTTTTAGTTACTTGTTTGTATGCATAATCTTTCAAAAGTAAACACAACAAAATTAGCTCTTAACAGTAGCTATTTTCCTTTTTTTTCTGACCAGTAAGGGTATTATTGTAACCCTTGGCATGGTGTTGTCTGCACCACGCTCAGCCTGTGAGTGCACCAGCCATCCCTATGTAGGATCCGAACTCCGAACTTGCGGCCTCAGCGCCACCAGTGCCGCACTCTCCCAAGCGAGCCACGGGGCCGGCCCAAAAGTAGCTATTTTCTGCCTAGTAAAATTCACTGTTATTGATTTGTCAGGATAATTTTTTGAAGTATGATGCAAATAAGGCATTTATAACACGTTGTGCTAGTTGATTGTATTTTTTTGTTGAAAGACATGTATAAATATAAATTATAAATATTACATAAGCTTTTTATATTTTATTTTCAGTCATATAAATCAGCGATTTTAGAGAACATGTCTTATTTTATAATGTTAACTTTTTATTTAATTGGTCAGTTTTTCATTCATTCATTCAACAAATATGTCAGGTACATTCGTCTGTTCCAAAATTAGGGTTATTTTAATATAGTTAACATTTAACTTGATTTTATAACAGAGGTAAACAAAAGTTTACTGAAGTCCTTAAGAATAATTAATTGGCTAAATATTCTCATGTTTGGCACATGTAATTTTATTCTTGTGTGTAGTATAGTTTCCTCTACCATTGTCATGATTTTAATTGCTACTCAAAATTTAGTAGTTCAGTAAAAGAATATGGTGCTTGGTGAAGAATTTTGTAAATAGGCACATTTTCAATTTGCTGTTTTTTGTTTGTTTTGTTTTTTGGGTTTTTTTAGTTTTAACTACCTAGGGATTTGTGTCTGAGAAGTGCTAGGTTTAATTAATTGGAGGTAATGATATATTATTCATTTTGCATAAAAGTATTTGTTTAACAGAACTGTCAACTAACCGATACAGATGTTTATCTCTTTTGATAACAGTCAACGTATTTATGGAATAATTTCTGGGTGATGTATCTTGAAGTCAGGAAGCTTAGTCTTGTGAACAAAAGATTAAATATGTAATAAAATACTAAATTAGATAGTAGTTTTCATACTATACATTTAGTAGACTACATGTATTGTTCCATTATTAAAATTTAATGACCACTTTCCCCCCAATATATAAGAAAAAATAGATTAGATACTGTTTTCTCAATTTGGACTTATTCTCCCATAGTATGTATATTGCATATATTTTCTTTCAATCTTTGGCACTTCCAGCCATTTACTTATACTAGATCTAATGTGGAATGGCATGTTATTTACATGTATAGTCATGCACTGCATAACAATGTTTCTGTCAATATCAGACTGCATTTCTGATGGTGGTCCCATAAGACTATAATGACTGTATCATATGGCCTAGGTGTGTAGTAGGATATATCATCTAGTTTGTGTAAGTACACTCAGTGACATTTGTACAGTGAAGACATCACCTAACGATGTATTTCTCAGATTGTATCCTTATCATTAAGCAATACATGACTATTATTTATAATTTGAGTTTATAAATATCTGTATATGTCAAAACACATTATAGTTTACATTTTTCAAAAAAACACCGTGACTTCAGATTCTCCCCAACCCCCCCAAATTTAACCACTAGTGCAGATTATCTGTGGTAAAGGATATTTGGAGATATAAAATGTCTATTTAGGATAGAGTTATTGAGAGTTAAGCTAGGCCATGAGAGTTGGAGAGGTTGACAGTGTAGTCCCAAAGTGTTATAAGAACTTGGGACAAATACACTACTTCTCCATGATAAAGCTAGAATCAGAATCTGGATTCTGCTTCCTAATCAGTTAATTTTTCCAGTAAGCTGTTAGCATAGCAGGAAGGAGTAGTTGTGAATAACTTCTGATCGGAAAAATACTAAGCTTGTGGTCTATGGAAAGGAATTCTTTAATTCTAAATAGTCTTATCAGGGTTGGATTATGTATTTCTGTTGGATTGGATTATGTATTTCTGTTGCTTATAACAAAATACCTGGAACAAGATAATTTATAAGAAAACAAAATTTATTGCTTAACAGTTTCTGAGGCTGAGAAGGCTAAAGTCCAAGGAACACATCTATTGATGGTGACAGTGACCCCTCACATTGCATGATGGTGGAAGCAGAGAGAGAGACTAACTTCCTCATTCACCTTCTTTTTAAAGCCCTCAGAACCATGCCCATAACCACCATTTTTAATCCATTCATTACAGCATGGTCCTGCATTCTGATCATCTCTTCAAGGCTCCACCTTTCAATTACTGTAATAAGGTTTCCCACCCTCTTAACACTATCACAGTGGGGGGCAAGTTTTGGGGGAACACTCAGTCCAAGGCAGATTAGGAAGGCATTTCAGACTTAAGGGAACTTTATATGGAAAAGCAGATATCCTGAAAGTGTGCTCCATGTTGGAAGTGAATCATGGTTTTAGAGGGCGGAGATGAAATAAACAGTTTTATATGTACCAGGTATTTGGAAATGGCAGAGCACTGTTGTATTTAGCAAGAAGGTCATTGTAGCTGGAGTGTACTAAGTTAATAGTTTATGTTTCTTGAGTGTTTACTGAGTGCCAGGCACTGTTCTAAGTGTGTTACTAGTGTTAGTTCAATCTTACAAGAAAGATACCATTTAACGTATAAGAAGACTAAGGCACAGATACTAAGTAATTTACTCGAGGTCACAGCTAGTCAGGGAGGTGGGACTAGAGGGCAGGTGTTAGTTCAATCTTACAAGAAAGATACCATTTAACGTATAAGAAGACTAAGGCACAGATATTAAGTAATTTACTCGAGGTCACAGCTAGTCAGGGAGGTGGGACTAGAGGGCAGGTAATTTGGCAGCAAAATTGGTACTCTCAATCATTATTAAAAGATGGGGGAGTCATGTTTATTGCAACACTATCTACAATAGCCAAGAGTTGGAATCAACCTGAATGTCCATTGACAGATGACTGGATAAGGAAAATGTGGTATATATAGTCAATGGAATACTACTTTGCCATGAAAACGAATGAAATTCTGCCATTTGCAACAACATGGATGAACTTAGAGAAAATTATCTTAAGTGAAATAAGCCAGACATAGAAAGAGAAATACCACATGTCCTCTCTCATAAGTGGGAGCTAAAATAAAGAAAAAAAAGAAAAAGAATCACAATGATACATTAAATTCCCAAAATCCCCCCCCCCCCCCCAGAAAAACCAGAATGTGTTTATTAGAGGTGGGAAAGAGGGAGGGAGAGGGGAATTGGTGAGAAACTAGTTAAGGGTCACAAAGATAGATTATGTTTTGTAAACATGAGTATACTAATCCTGATTTGATCACATATTGTACACATTTGTACACATGTATTGATATTTGACTCTGTACCATTTGATTCTGTATATTCTGTACAAATATATATAATCAATAAAAAAAAAAAGATGGGGGAGGGAAGGTGTAATAGGAAATTTACTTGCAGCAGTAGCCTGGGGCCAGTTCTGTAAGGCCTTTGTGTTTATTATAAGAATTTAGGATTTTATTCTGACTGCGATGTTAAGTCATTGGAGGGCTGAGAAATACCCAGGTTACTTTATGGTTCAGGACTATACATAAACATTTCTTAGTCATCTGTGTATGGGTTATAACTTAAAATATTTCTACTGGAATATAACATATTTCTTTGATTTAAAATTAAAGATTCTACTTCATTATTTTATTAAACAGATAGGTACATGTACTATATATATATATATGAGTGTGTGTGTGTATAATAAACTAATGATCTTTTCTGTTAATAGGTACGAGAAGATGTACTAAATTCATTGAATAACAACTTTCTTCAAACGCTAAATCAAGCTTGGAATGATCATCAAACAGCTATGGTGATGATTAGAGACATACTAATGTATATGGTAAGTAGCTTTTTTGTTTTCCTTTAAGAAGTTAAGCATTTTAAAACAAAATGACTTTCTGTCAAATTGGATGTTACACCTCAGTATGGAAAGTGGTATTTGTTTTTATTTTTTAAACAAACAGTATTTCCTTTGTGATGGCCAACATCAGTCCATGTGAATAACATCTTAATTTTTCAAACTGCAAAATTAGAATGGAAAATGAAAGGAAATGATTTAATTTTTTTTTTAATATTTAGCACTTATGCTTCAAAATGTGAAATATTGAAAAGTCTTATTACTTAACATCTCTTCTTAAGTAATGGTGGTTAAATGATAACATGAGAGACAGAAGCTAAATATTCTCTTACAGTCTTTTAAAACCTAAGTCCTCGGGCCGAGCCCGTGGCGCACTCGGAGTGCAGCAGCGCTCCCGCCGCAAGTTCGGATCCTATATAGGGATGACTGGTGCGCTCACAGCGCTCACTGGCTGAGCGCGGTGCGGCCAGTCTCAAAAAGGACAAAAAAAACCCCCCAAAAAAACCTTAAGTCCTTATATCTTCAGTGACAGAGTATGTCATATTAATACAAATATTTTCCTAATAATTATCTTTTAATAGCTGCCATTTGTTACTCCAAATAGTAAATCCTTGTAATGCATGATTGCTGCCAGTCTTGTTTAAGGATATTAGGCTGTTCAGATATATCAGTGTATTCAATTTTTGACCTATTATTGCTGTTCCTGTTTTTATCAGTCAGAAAAATCCTGTTCAGCAAGATAATTTAGAAAACATTGACCTGAGCTAAGATTTAACTGTGTTTATTTTTTAAAATTCAGTATCATAGAATTAAGCTAGATTCATTAATTTTATTGTGTCACTATAAAATTAAAAAGTCTGATGACTTATTTTTTCAGTGCTTATGCTTGGGAATTGGCCATAATGATTTTCTTCCAAAGTTTTACTCTTTTCAAATTTTTTTTTCAGTTTCTTTACTTTTGTTTTTTAGTTGCAATGCAGAGATGAGAACTTGTCCTAGTTTCTTTTTACTTAACAGAATAAAGCAATGTTTAGAAAGAATTTCCAGTGAGAACAAACAGCTGTAAAATTTTTTGTTCTGCTGAGTGAATTCAGTCAGGCCTGTTACCCCTGGTTTTGTAATAGCTTAGTGGCAAAGGGGTCAGGGAAAGGTCACTTAGTTTTTCAGGGATTTGATAAAAGGTATAACAAATTATTAGCTTTTCTGAGCCTCATTTTCCTCACCAGCTTATAGATTCACCTTGTATTATCATTTTGGGAGTGAATGAGATTGCATGTGGAAACATATAATATCTGGCATGTAAATGTGCAATAAGTTAGCTTGCTGCTGGTCTTGGTGAATATTTAAATTCCATACCCATTATCTAACACTAAGATAGAAAATCATATGTAATTTCATTGTCCATTGCTATATTGACAAAAGAAATATTTTAAAACTTCACACACACACACACACACACACACACACACACACACGTTATTTTTAAAATTTGTTTTCAGTTCCTTTTTTTTTCTTGCAGTGGAATCTCAAACCTTGAAGCCTGCCTCTACTGCTTATGTCACCATGGTCAAGAAATTAATTAGTTCATGCCTCAGCTTCCTCATTTATAAAATGAAAATAATATTGTACTAATTGGGTAGGGTAGCTGTGAGGCTTAAATGAACATGTAAAGCACTTATAGGGCTTGGCCCATAGTAACACACTCAGTAAAAATTAACCGGTATCGATATTTCTTATCCCTTCATCTTTTCGTCAAACCCCATCTGATAGTACCACAATGCTGGATAAACCTGGTGACTTACCTTTCCTGTGTCTCTGCTGGAGGAAACTTCACACAGGGTACATCAGTGCCACTACTTGTCTGTCTGTGGTCACAGACCTTCATTCAACCCACCTCACTGCCCAGCAGCTTCACTCTTTTTCTCTAGTCAGCTCGTTCCACCAGTTATTTCACTTCAAACCTCCAGCTCTCCCTCTGGTCTTCACACTCTTAGTAAATGACCTACCTCTCAGAAGAAAGAGAAAGCATCAGGTAGGAACGATATTCTTTCTTGCCGCTAAATCTAAAACTTTACCTGTGTTTTCTTCCCTTTTGTGTTTTTCTTTTTCCTTCCTGTTTTTTTTTCCTTCTTTTTTTTTATCTTTTTTTTTTTTTTTTCCTGACTGGTAACGGGATCGCAACCCTCGGTGTCGCGCCCGTACTGCGACTGGCAACGGGATTGCAACCCTCGGTGTTGCGCCCGCACCGCGCTCAGCCAGTGAGCGGGGACCGGTCTCCACATGGGATCCGACCCCTTGGCAGGAGCGCCACCGCGCTCCCAAGCGGCGCACTCTCCAGTGTGCCACCGGGCCGGCCCTTTCCTTCCTGTTTTGATGGAGGGTGGTATCTCCTCTTCTGTCAAAGGCCAGTTCTCCACTTATGCCATGAATCACTTATGCTATGAATTCCTTCTATCTTGCCAGGAATCTTAAGTATTTTCGGGTTCTGCCTTTTTTTTTTTTCCCCAGGATCTTATTAATCAGCATTAGACCTGTTCAAGCCACTCATCTTCAAAAAAAATTCTAATAAATTTTCTGATGAATCCCTATGATCTCTTGTCTGTCATTCACAGGTAAATGTCTTGTCACAAATATTGACACTTGCTAGCTCCCTTTTCTCACCTTTCATTCACTTTGATTATGTTCCAGTTAAGCTTTTACCACAATAGTTCTGTTCAGTTTTGCCCAAGGTAT